ACCCTTAAGGATTTCTCCTTCTCAATTACCAAGGTCTCGCACCATTAACCTGCTAGACTTCTCGAAGTCTTTTATTAAGCCTTTCATGAACATTCTGAATCTCCAGCCAAAATCACACATGCGACCTCCTACCGGGTAGCAAGTAATATTCTTCACAAAAGCTTCATCAACATCATGCCACCGCTAGCTGCACACAGGAGATAACCCACATGTGGAATTCCTTACCGACATCTTCCAATGACATTGCACTGAGTGCAACGACCACTAAATCCGTAAATTCTCCTGAGTTCATGCTCGCCCACCATTTGTATAAGTTTGCACTTTCCCTATTGACATCAACTGTACGTCAACAATACCTTCTGAACTCAAGTCATATTGCACCTGACACGATAATCAGATCTTCACGCCTCTATTCATTTCAAACAGACTCATTTCTGCCATATTCAATTTTCCCTTGTACATTAATCATCACTCCAAATAGAGTATGCAGGCCGATTCACATACTAACACGATTCCAAATCATTCTACACTTTCTCAAGGCGCACGACTACCCAACTAGTGAATTCATATGCTAATCTTCCACTCTTACTTCGGTTAAATCATCTCCTTTAAGAAACTTCTCAACCTCTACTTCTCCTACTTGACCTGCTAGTACTTCAACCACCGCAAAACACTTCCTGTCATGTCTTCCCTCATACTTTGCTACCCAACTGCTGCATCAAATCGAAATTTATCTCTGTTGCACCTGAACCAATAAAATGTTACCGACTCTAAGTCTCTTTGAAGATCATCTTTCTCGAGCCATCAATATCAAAAATACCCATTCGCAACCATAATTACTACACAATCACTTACTCTTCTTGAGTCCAAACTCATTGACAGGACATGAGAATTTAATTTGCCCCAAAATTTAACAACGTGAAAGATCCTTCAAAATATTTACACTCGAGACCATACGTCACATCAAATTGAAAAATCAAGTGCCCAATGGCCTTCCTTTACATTTCAAGGAAACATTTGTTGTCACATTCAAATCATTTTAACACATCCCGCAGTTACATCATACTCATCACAAAGCCATTCCACCGCTCATCGACCCACGAATTCCACTCGTAGGGGCATTATCGGACATATGAGTCCAAATGTACAAGTTACAACTGAAGCTACCGAGCCAAAACTATGGTTTAAACGTGGCCTCAAGTCCTCTAGACTAGCCCATCACCAAAACACATAATACACATCTCGAACCTCGTTCACAAAATCACAAACCGGCGATGCACAACTGATATCGAGTGCTCATATACGCATATGAATGCGTGGAAGGAATTCAAAGAGTTATGTTTCAAGCTGAATCAATTTCGCACGATAGAATACAAGAAAATGAAATTTTCCTAAGGGTTCTGCAGCCTCTCGACGATAGAATACAGACGTCTCCGTACCGATCCGCAAGACTCTACTAAACCCACTCATGACTCGTGAGACCTATGTAACCTAGGCTCTGATACCAATCTGTCACGGCCCAAACAAACCCCTGTCGTAATAGCGCCTATCGTGGAACTAGGCAAGCCGACTCATTTCCAAAACAAACCGATATTTTCATTTCAAAGATAATTTCAGTGCTATTTAACATAAAAACCTTTGCAAAGGAGTTAAAATCAACACAAAAGTGCGGAAAGAAAAGCCCGACATCGGGGTATCACTAGTCATGAGCATCTACTACAATCTGGGGGCCTTTACATGGATTTGGCTTGTTCGAGGTAAGTAACACTTCTAAACTTGTTGCTGATGGTATAAACCCCTGAATATACATGATATGTGTTTGGTGTTGAGATGACGCACATGCTAAGTAACGGGCGTGTGGGCGTGCACCGTGTGAATTGTGACTCGGTCATTTATGTGGTACTGTGTAGTTACCTAATCTTATTTGTATCCATGAAATCTCTACGTGCTAGAGTAATTGAGCTATGATCCGTGTTAGAAACCATGTCTAGGCTATATGCTTATCCTGTTGGGACCACTGAGGTCATTTCTACTGTCGAGTTATTTGTGTACATTACAATTACATACTCAGTCATACGCATTCATTTGCATATCATATCTCAATCTCTGTTACCATTTATTGATACATAACATTATCATTTTGGGCTGATTTTCATGACATTGTGAGCCCGAAATACTGGAGAGATTGATGACTGAGTGAGGCCGAGGGCCTAATTGTGAGGATATTGATGGGATCGGGCTGTACGCTACAACAAGTATTATTGATTCATGGGATCGGGTTGCACGCCGCAGCAAGTATTATTGATTCATGCCATGATTGGCTTATTATAGCGCTTAGACTGGATATACCCATCGGAGTCTGCACACCCACAGTGAGTGCGGGTACCTATTGGGTGCGAGTGCCGAGAGTGAGTACCGAGAGTGAGTGTCGAGTGATTGGAAGGACTGAGTGACTGTGAGGACTGAGTGACTAGGAGGACTAAGTGAATTGATACTCTGAGAGTATGCATATGGTTTTATCACTGAGTGGCAAGACATTCAACATGCACACTTGACATGTAGGCATAGAAATATATTTTCCTCATGCCATTTTAAAATCAAATATTTACATGTTGGGTGTTTTGGGAAAAATCACAGTTTCACAAACATACTCATATTTTGGTGATTCCGATAAAAGGTTTGGATTTTCACAGATATACTTGAAAATATGCCTATTTTTTGGAACTGTAAACGAGCTGAGCAATATATCTCTGAGTTACTTCTTTTATCACTTTTATTATGTTGTTATGAACTTGTTGTTGGCTGTTGGTATTGCACTCCGATATTTATTCCAACCCGTCACTACTTTCAACCTAAGGTTAGGTTTATTACTTATTGAGTACATGGGGTCAGTTGTACTCATACTACACTTCTGCACCTTGCGTGCAAATGTTGAATGCTGATGTTGCTACGTACGGCGGGAGCTGGGTTTGAAGACGTACTTGCGTTCCGGTCATAGCTGCCTCTTGATCTTGGTAGCTTTAGAATTTTAATTTGTTCATATATATATTTCAAATAGATGATGTACTTTATTTCATATCCGCTTTGTAAATTCTAAATCTTAGAACCTCATGATTTGTACTACCAGTCATTGGGAAATGTATAAAGATTTAGTTATTTATCATTCATTTGTCTTAACAAATCTCATTAAATTGGATAGTTGTTAATTGGCTTACCTAGCCGGTTGGGTTAGGTGCCATTACGACTAATTGGATTTTGGGTCGTGACGTTTACCCTTTAAAAGTAGATTTTACATTGGACAAAATTGTAATTTAATTTACTATCCTAATATTTAGGAGTTTAAATGGGCTAAAATTTTACTTATTAAATACTTCCTTATATGAATTGTGTTGAAAGTTCTAGCATTTAAGACTTCTTAAAGTTAAATTAAGATTTTAACTTATATAAATTGTGTAACATATATAATATCCTCCATAATTATTTTCCTAATATTAGGATTTTAAATCAACATTCACACCATCTTCATGAGGTGGGTAAACCCTCTGGCCCCGAAATATTGCTATCCAATTATAGGGTGAAATCTTACTACATATCCAACTACGGTGAAATTCTTCTAGACCACGTATGAAACAGTATATTAAGACTTTGGTATGTCAATATCTTTATTCCTTTTTTTTTTTTATAAAAAAAAAATACAATTGGCCTCTTTTGCCCTTTCTTGTGCAAAAGTAGTTAAAATATCTTTTATCTATTGTTGGAGGTTCATAAAACAAGAAATCCATCCATGTAGACCAGGTACGTACCCTTAATGGTATCGGAACAAAAGTTTGAACGAAGAAGTTTAGTTGCATAATATCCGCTTCTTTTGTTTTATTGTTACGTTCATTCATTTGTACAATTGGTAAATTCGTTGTGGTTACTTTGATGGAGATCAATAATCTGCCTATTCTTATATTTATATGATTTTCTATGTTGAAAAATATAAGTTACAGGTAGAAGTTGGCATTGAGATATGTAGGTTTAGAAAGCTTATAATTATTTACGAAGTATTATCTGTTACCGATTTATTGGTACAAATTTTGTCACTCGTGATTAAACATCTTCAATTCATGTGAGTTCTTCTTAGTATGTGTATGTAACATATTTATGTTTTTTTAGCTAATTTAATTTATGCCATCATTGTTTTTGTTTTTATTTCTATCTGAATTTACTCTTGAAAATTTCTTTAGTTCTTTCATTAATTCTTTGGATTTAAATTATTATTGTAAAAGTATGAAGACTAAAAATACAATGTTAATCAACGAAAAGAACCTTAAGAGTAAATGTGGTCTGAAAATTCCTCCTGCACATTAATATATCGTCCAAGTTTCTTTAGGAGTCGATAAAATTATAATTATTATTTTGTCTATTTCTTTTTAAATTTATGTTTGAAATCCTCATAAATAATTTTTACTTATGTTAGGGATAATCACTAGGAAAATTTGACACTTCTATTCCTAATCATGCGCCAATAAGAATTTAACCTGAGTTAAAATAGCCAAATGCATCAAATTTTAGGGTAAAGAGACTCTAATTTTACATTTGTCTTACTCTCTAATTTCGATACATCCATCAATATAATATTATATTAGCAAAATGTCGTTCGCCCTTTTTCACTCTTAGAAAATAGAGTTCACATGGGATAATATTGTCATTTAATTATTTTCCTAATATACTAGGACCTTGAAAACAATACAATTTTTTCTCATTCCTTAATTGAACTAGGTACAAAGTCCTAATATTTAGAATTTTAATATGGAAGAGCTTCTTTGTAACTTGTTGAACGCGTTGTAGTGAGATTATTTCTTCTTCCCACATTTGTAAACTTAAAATTCTGAGTTAATCTTATTGCAAATATAAAGTTTTATCTGTTAGGGAAAAAATACTTTTATTTACTTAATTATGTGTTTATCACGATAAAATTCCTGATCACAGAAACATCTAACAGTATAAAACTTTTGTATAATCCATTCAACTTCTTTGCTCACTCTGTTGCGGCACTAGCTCTGATCTTTAACATATATACCCCAAAACCAGTGCCGCTCCCACACTTGATGCATGGAATTCAAAGCAACACCTTTAGTCTCTGGCATAAACATCACTATAAAAATGGTCATAACAGCAATCCAACCAGAAAAGAACAAGAAAGCCCCATACTTGAAGTGACAAAGCATTGCCAAAAATGTCTGAGACAACACAAATGTGGTGGCAATGTTCACGGCCACACTTATGCTCTGCCCCGTCGATCGAATGTTCATCAGAAATATTTCGCTTGGAATGAGCCAACTTAGAGGACCCCATGACCAACCAAAACCAGCAGCATAGATGCACAGGGCAAGTACTAAGGTAGCATATTGCTTGGTTATGTGTTTGTTTCCATTTTCACCTATTGAAACTGCAAGTGTAGAAGCAATAGCTACCTTCACCAACATTAAGCCAATCATGTAATTAGCATAAGGATCATCAAAGTTATACACAGACAATATAAATATCTTTCATTTATAAGTATAATTTAATATTTACTCTATTTTCTTGATCGGTTACCCTATCAAATTTGCTAAAAGCTTGCATTTATATGTTATTGCATGTCAATTTAACTTTATATTGCAACAAAACAACACGGCGTCATCATATAGAAGTTAAGACTTTCTAAGAATTTACTTATGTACACTGAGAATATCAAGAAATTTTACGCTATTATTACAATTTAACTGGTTATGACAGGTTATTACTCTATCTTTCCGGTTACCTTATCTGGCTTGTTACGAAAAGTTACATATATTGTTGTAAGCCAAGATGAGAAAACAACTTATACACTATCGACGCACAAAACATATTTAACTCTTCAACTAACTATTCCTTGAGTTTTATCTTTGGATATATGGGTGCATAACGTGTTGTCTCAGTTGGCTATTAGTTAAGCACACACCTGGCAGAAGAGCATTTGTACTTCACCCAGTATGAAGAGAAATCTCCGACCAAACCGATCAACAATACCAGTAAACAAAAGGATTGAACCAAGATTGACTAATCCAAGTATAACAGCACCAAGTAGAGCCAAGTTATTCCCAAAACCGACTGATCGAAAAAGGACAGGGGCGTAGAATGCAATGATATTAATCCCCGTCATTTGCTGGAAAAATGGTATGGCAATGGACATGACCAAATGAGGCCGATGTCGTCTCTTAAAGATTGTTACAAAAGGCTCTTCGTTTGAAGCTCTAGCACTTTCACTAGATTTAATAAGATCAGGTAACTTAGCTTCAATTTCAGTGTTATTATTGGTTCCTCGAACTTTTGCTAGAGACTGCTTTGCTTGCTCCAACTTTCCACTAGGGTGGCAATTTGAGCCCAACCCCGCCCAACCCGCCTAGAGATTAATGGGTTGGGCTACAAATATTTTAGTTTATGAGTCTATTTAGATTGAGTCCAAGTTAACCCATTATTTTTTTTTATAGCTTATTCTGAACCATGAAGTAGCCCAAATACAACCCATGAAGCTCACCCAAAACAAAGAGATTTCAACCCAACTTATCTTGAAATTTACTTAGTTGTCCCAATTTTACTTTTTCTGCACCACCCACCCACCCAAACCCCCTCAATTTGTTTTTTACTTTCTTTTTTGTATTTTTAATTTTCTGTTTTCTATTTTTTCGTTTTTCTGCACCACCCACCCACCCCAAACCTCCCACGCAAACCCCCTCAATTTTTTTTTAACTTTTTTTTTTGTATTTTCAATTTTCGGTTTTTTATTTTTTCGTTTTTCTGCACCCCCCTCCACCCCCGCAAAATATTATAGGTGTATAAAAGGTAAAAAGTTTTGTTTATGCAAGATAATGATGGTTCTAAAACATGATCAAGTTGGCCGGGTTGGGCTATGATCCATTGTTTAGCCCATCTTGACTCAACCCATCTTATCTCAAGTACACTTTGGGCTGGGTTGGGCAATGACCCATTTATTGACCTAACCCATCTTGACCCACCCAAATTCAGCCTAACCCGCCCAATTTCCACCCTACAGTTTCCACGCTCAACTAGGTTGCTAGGTATGTCTGAAATGAGAAGTGCACCTGCACCCAAAAGTGTGACTTAGTGTTAATAAAGTGTAATATTAAATAGAAGAATTAACTCAAATAGCCCCCACCCAACCGGTTAAACTAAAAATAGCTAGTGGAGGTATAATATATGCATAGTTCATGTATTATATGTGTATAATCATGTATAATTAATGTATAATCTATGTATATAGCTAAAAAAGTAAACAGTGAACCGACTATTTGTGTAAAGATCCCTTATTTTTTTTTGAAGTATAATGGTTCAAATCTCAGGAGAGATAAAAAAAAAATTAAGTTCATGATATACACGGTTCCTGTACTAATGGGAAATAACATCCAAGACGGTCCAGATGCCAATATTATATGTAAAAGAGAAAATGAACAAAAATAAATGAAAAGTGCACCTATGGTCATTATCATGGCTGGAACTATGGCCAGGCCGAGGGAGAGGCGCCATCCCCAGCTGAGCCTAGAGGTGGCATAGTTTATGCAATTCGCTATAACAACGCCAAGGCCTATGAAGAATTGGAAGCCTGTGCTCAATGCATCTCGCCATTTTGAAGGTGCCACTTCTGAGAGAGGTATACAGTTGGGAATAAACCCCCTACATAAATAATATTCACAGTAATAAAAATAAAATAATAACATAGCACTGAGATACGGTAATTAACAAGAATAAAAGAGTGACAACGACACCAAGATTTTTACGTGAAAACCCCTTTTGAATAAGAAAAAAAATACAGCCTCGAGACGAGCAACTAATATCACTATAGCAAGGACTTTTACACTTTGTAGGTCCGAGTAAAATACTCCAAAGACCACTACAACACTCAAAAGAAATAACACTCTTTTGATATTCCCACCTCACTACAATATCGCTCACTCTCTATTTTTCTCACAAACTATTTTTTTATACACTGTCTGTGAAACCTCACTCTTTTTTTTCTCTCTTTGTTGGTTTAATACAAATGGCCAAAAATCTCTTTATTTATAGAGATTTAATACTCCTCCAGATGATATCAGTGACATCAAAAGAAAGAAAGAAACTTCAAATTCTTCAATGTGGACAATTCAAAAAACGTTGGCTTCCAATTGAAAATAACTACTCACATTAGAAGTCTTTTTCAAAGGAAGAAAAACATCTTCCTTAAGTCATGGGCTGGACTCATCAAATCTTCTCCTCCAGTCCCATTCACCTAAAAGAGGTAACACCAGAGTTTCTAGTTTGAGTGCATGCCGAAAAGTTCTTTGCATAGCTCGAACTTGTCTCCTGGTACCACCTTAGTTAGCCTATCCGAAGGATTCTCACTTGTATGGATCTTCTTGACATATATAGATCCATCCTCTATTCTTTCTCGAATCCAGTGATATCTCACGTCGATATGTTTTGTCCTTGCGTGATACATGGTGTTTTTGCTTAAGTCTATTGTACTTTGACTATCACAATAGACGACATACCTGTTTTGATGCAATCTAAGGTCTCGTAGGGACCGTTTTAGCCAAGCCATCTCCTTGCCAGCTTATGTAGTGGCAATATACTCCGCTTCACTTGTAGAGAGTGCAACACACTTCTACAACTTCGACTGCCATGATATAGCTCCCCCTGAAAATGTGAACAAGTATCATGTAGTAGATTTACGATTATCAAGATCACCTGCCATATCAGCATCCGTGTAGCCCTTCAAGATTGGATCAGATCCTCCAAAACACAAGCAATCTCCTGTGGAACCTCTCAGGTACCTCAATATCCACTTGACTGCTTCCCAATGTTCTTTTCCTGGATTTTAAAGGAACCTTCTAACAACACCAACTGCATAGCAATATCTGGTCTAGTTCATACCATTGCATACATCAAGCTTCCAACTGCTGAAGAATAAGGAACTCTAGCTATGTTCCATTTCTCCTCCATTGTTGTAGAACACATATTCTTGCTCAACTTTAGATGACCGGCAAGAGGTGTGCTGACTGGCTTAGCATTCTTCATGTTGAAGCATTCCAGTACACGTTTAATGTACTTCTCCTGAGACAGCCACAGTTTTCTACTTGTTCGCTCTCGAACTATCTTCATACCCATAATTTGTTGTGCTGGGCCCAAGTCCTTCATATCAAATGACTTGGACAAATCTCCCTTCAACTTTGCGATCAACACCTTATCTTTTCCTACAATTAACATGTCACCCACAAACAACAACAATATAATAAAGTTATTTTCAGAAAATCTTTTGAAGTATACACATGGATCAGAATATGTCTTTGTGTAAGTTTGACTTTTCATGAATGAGTCAAACTTCTTGTACCACTGCCTTGGTGCCTGCTTCAACCCATAAAGACTCTTATTCAGTTTGCACACCATGTGTTTCCTTTAAGCTACTTCAAATCCTTTTGGCTGCTCCATATAGATCTCCTCTTCCAAATCTCCGTGAAGAAATGCAGTTTTCACGTCCAACTGCTCCACTTCAAGATCAAGGCTAGCTGTTAAGCTCAAGATTGTTCGAATAGAAGTCATTTTGACAACATGTGAGAAAATTTCATCAAAATCAATACCTTTCTTCTATTCGAAGCCTTTAACCACCAATCGAGCTTTGTATCTTACCAGCTTTCCATTTCCATCTTTCTTGATTTTAAAGACTCACTTACACTTGAGTGGTCTTTTGCCCTTTGGAAGTTCAACCAGCTTGTAAGTGCCATTTTTCGGTAGAGATTCCATCTCTTATTGCCTGGATTTCATTCACTAGTTCTTTTCTGGATGGGACAACACCTCCTTAAGACTTTCTAGCTCCCCCTCATCACTGATGAGGACATACTCCATGGCAGGTTACCTGCATGACTCTACCATTGGCCTTTCTGATCTCCTTAGAGGTTGAGGTTGTTCTTCTCCCTAAGTGGGATGCTCCACTTGCTCGACATCACCATCAAGTTGCTCCCCCTGCCCAATAACCTCACCAGGTTGCTCCCCCTACTCGGCAACCTAGTCGATCCTATTTTCTGCACTTGTGGGATTGTTAGAAGTAGAAGGAATAGTAACAAGGTTAGGAATTATACCATTCTTGGCCTTCTCTGGCATATCGTCAGCAGTTCCAACTTCACTTTCTCGGAAGACTACATCTCTACTTCTGATGACCTTATTCTTTACAGGAACCCACAATCTGCATCCGAACTCTTCATCTCCATATGCGATAAATATGCAGGGAACAGATTTATCATCCAGCTTTGTTCTTTGCTCCTTTGGTACATGTGAAAAAGCTCTGCAACCGAACACCTTCAGATGCAAGTGGGACACTTCCTTGTTGGTCCAAACTCTCTCTGGGATGTACGCCAACTGAACTGATGGACTCCTATTGATCAGGTTACAGGTTGTCTGAACTGCTTCACCGCAGAATGACTTAGGTAGTTTAGCCATTCTGAGCATGCTTATCGCTTTATCCACAATGGTACGCTTCATCCTTTCGGCTACGCCATTATGTTGTGGGGTTCCAGGAACTGACTTTTCATGTCTAATCCCATGGCTCGAACAATACTCTTCAAACTCCCTTGAAGCGTAATCACCTCTATTGTCACTTCAGCGACGCTTTAGCTTTTGGCCTGTCTCCCTTTCCACCACAGCATGAAACTTCTGGAAACTTGAAATACCTGATCTTTGGTTTTCAAAATATAAACCCATAATTTTCGTGAAGCATCATTAATAAAAGTAACAAAATATTTGTTACCACCCATCGATTCAATTTCCATTGGACCACAAACATCAGAATATACCAAATCAAGCATATTTAATTTTCTTTTGAGAAGATGTCTGAAACAAGCCCTCGGAGGGCGTGGCTGTTGTGACTGACTCGGTCCAGATCTGTTGGAGTGACCGCTAAAAGCACCCCGTACAGGAGGTACACTAGACACTGGCGATGCATAATAACGCTCCTAGAGCCTCGAAGGGATCGGAATACCACTGGCGGCTAGAAGAGCTGAATGAACGGGGAGGCTTCCGTAGCCCCTACCATGGCGAACTACAGTTGGGGCACGAGTACCAAGTGCCAGACTCTCAAGACCTCTTGGCCTCCCTCTCCTCTCTATCTCGAGTGAGCATGCCCTCCAATATCCTAGCAATACTCATAACCTGCTGGTAAGAAATATCCATCTCCAGCTCCCTGACCATACTAATCCTGATACTGGGGTGGAGTCCCTCAATAAACCGACGAACCCTCTCTCGAACTGTGGCAACCAAGGCCCGTGCATGTCGGGCCTAATCACTTAAACGAATTGCATACTCTGACACAGTCATAGCACCCTAGCGCAGCTGCTCAAACTCCGCGTGCCATGCGTCCCTGAAGCTCTGAGGGACATACTCTCTCAAAAACATGTCCTAGAACTGAGTCCATGTAAGTGAAGCTGCCTTAGCCGGACTACTCAAATCATAAGCACGCCACCACTGATAGGCTACTCCTCTAAGCTGGAATGCAGTTAAGGAAACCCCACTCGACTCCGCTACACCTATAGTACGGAGAATACAGTGACACTCCACAAAAAATACTGGGAATCCTCTTACACCAATCCGCTGAAGGTATGAGGGTGGTACTTCTTGTACCTCTCAAGTCTGAGCTGCTCCGCCTTAGAAACTGCTGCCTAACCTCGGGTTGAACTGGAACTACCGGCTGCATCGGTATAATCTCTAGAACCTGGTCGATCTGAACCCTCTACTTAGGGGTACGGGTTGCGAGAGTCTGTGCTCCTTCCCCTGCATGAGATGTGGCAAGACCAAGTGGAATCAATCTAGACTAAGCTAAGTTGTTGAACATGCTCAAAACCTGGGCTAGAGTCTCCTGGAGGGCTGGTGCAGCAACATGTTTCTCAGGTGTCTCCCCTCCAGTTGGAGCTACTGGGGGCTCTTCTGTAGTAGCTCATGTGGGTGCTCTGGCTGCACCACATGGACGTCATCGGCCTATACCCCGTACCCGGCCTCTCGTGGCTCTAGCAGGGGGCGCGGAGTGCCTGGTCATCAGATTCGCATGCACGTGTCCTCACCATTTGTGAGAGAATAGAATACAGAAGTTTAGAATTTCGAAGTCAACAATTTTGCACGATAAGGAATCAAAAAAGTATAATTTTTCCTAACAGTTCCATAACCTCCCGAAGATAAGTACAGACGTCTCTGTACCGATCCGTGAGTCTATAATAAATCGGCTTGTGACTCACGACACCTATGAACCTAGAGCTCAGATACCAACTTGTCACGACCCAAACATCCCTCCGAAACATGTTGTGACGGCACCTAGTCTCTACGACTAGGTAAGCCTAACAGATTGGGGAAATATTAATAATGGAAGCAAAACTTAACAGCTAACTGCAATAGATACTGAATAACCAATAACAATGCCGCTCGGCATGTACAATAACCAAAATGCTAGACGTACACAGCTTTCCCAAAATCCAGAACATCATGAGTCACAAGCTACAGAAGGCAAATAGCATCTCTATACACTAGAGTCTAATAAAAGAAATACAGGAAGTGTTTGATATATAGGAGAATAGAGGGGGACTCCTAGGTCTGCGGACGTGGTAGATGTACCTTGAAGTCTCCATACAGTAGCAAGCACTCTCAACTAATAGCCAGGCTAATAAGAATTACCTAGATCTGCACACAAAACGTGTGCAGAAAAGTAGCATGAGTACACCACAACGGTACCCAGTAGGTGCCAAGCCTAACCTCAGTCGAGTAGTGACGAGGTCAGGTCAGGCCCACTGGTAAATTATAAATAAGACTGGAGAATATATACAGTATAATAAGATACTAGAATTTAACAAAAGGAAACATAACAAGGCAATAGTACAACACACAGGGGTAAACAGCAGGTGATCTCTCGAGATACCGTCTCGTAGTCCTAAAATATATGTGCAGGGAGAACTCCTGAGGTACCGCCTTGTAGTCTCAAAATAAATGTACAGGGAGAACTCCTAAGGTACCACCTTGTAGTCTCAAAAGTAAATGTTCAGGGAGAACTCCCGAGGAACCCCCTCGTAGTCTCAAAAGTAAATATGCAGGGAGAACTCCCGAGGAACCGCCTCGTAGTCTCAAAAGTAAACACACAGCTCAAACCGATAAATACAATAGTTAACAGCCCGTGTACGTACTCGTCACCTCACGTACACGGCCCTCACATATCACAACTATTACCAAATCCTAAGGGTATTCCACCCTCCCCCCCTCCCCCCACAAGGTTAGGCAAGCCACTTACCTCGAACCAAGCTCAATCAATCAGTACAATGCCTTTTCCACGAATATCCAAGTATGAATGGCCCAAATCTAGCCAAAATCAATTACATACGATAAACACAACTAAAAGAAATTAAACTAACTAATGAAATAAAAGCTAAAGCAAGAATTTAGAAAATCGCCCCAAAAAGTCGACCCAGGCCCACGTCTCGGAATCGGATAAAAGTCAAAACATATGAACACACATTCACTCGCGAGCTCATTCGTACCAAAATTATCCAAATCCGATATCAAAATCCCAATCAAAACACAAAAGCTTATTTGAAGAACCTTCCAACGTTTTCCCAAATTTCTCGACCAAATTCCTTTATTAAATGATGATTTCAACTATAGATTAGTGGAATAAAACCATAAACGAGTTAAGAATCATTACCCCAATATTCTCTCCGAAAATCCTTGAATTATCGCCTCAATCTGAGCTCTCAAGGAACCAAAATGAAAATGAGATCAAATCCTCGAAATTGACCTTTTGCTGCCCAGCGATTCCGCATCTGAGGACCTACTGTCGCACCTGCGACGTCGCACCTGCGGAATTTCCCTCGCATGTGCAGAAATGACTTAAGAGGCTGGGTCCGCATCAACGATGAAGGGGCCGCACTTGTGTGTGCGCGCCTACGAAACCTGGTCCGCGTCTGCGGTCTCACCTCGTACTTGCGCTCCTTTGGCGCATCTGCGGGCATCGCAGATGCGTAAATATTGCCTCGCACCTGCGACCCCTGAACACCTACCCCACTCCACTTCTGCGATAGACCTTGCGCATGTGTGATCCTGCACCTACGGTCTCCCCACCACAGATGCGAAAACACTAGAAATCAGAAAACTTTAGCCTTTTACCTAAGTCCAATTTCAATATGTTAAGCATCCGAAACACACCTGAGGCACCCGGGACCTCAACTAAACATACCAACCAGTCCTAAAACACTATACGAACTTAGTCGATCCCTCGAATCACATCAAAAAATGCTAAAAACACGAATCACCCTCTGATTCAAACTTAATGAACTTGAAACTTTAAATTTCTACAATCCATTCCGAAACCTATCAAATCACGTCCGATTGACCTCAAAATTTGCACACAAGTCATAATTGACATTACGGACCTACTCTCACTTCCGAAATCGGAATCCGACCCCGATATCAAAATGTCCACTACCGGTCAAAATCTCCAAAAATTTGACTTTCGCCAATTCAAGTCTAAATCAGCTACGGACCTCCAATTCACAGTCTAGACGCGCTCCTAAGTCTAGAATCACCCAACGGAGCTAACGAAACTCTATTACGGAGTCGTTTTCACACAGTTCCAACTAAAGTCAAAATCCTAATACTTAAGCTTCCGTTTAGGGACTAAGTGTCCCAATTCACTCTGAAATCACAACAACAACCTCCCAGCAAGTGACATAAGTAGAAAAAGATACTAGGAAAGCAGTAAATAGGGGATCAGGGCTATAACTCTCAAAACCACCGCCCAGGTCGTTACACAACCTTAGCTCGTAAAACACAGAATCCAATTCACAACATCCGAAATTTTCTATAAGATCTGAATCTCGCATCTACACACTGTATAATTGTGAACAAGTTATATCAGGCCATAACCATAATCCAAGATGTAATCACATGATATATCACATAACTCAAATTCTTATAGTAATAATTCTGACCACAATAACTACTCGAAGCAAACTCGGTTCCGGTAATAAACCTCGTATCAAACAAAAATCTCATTCTAAAACCTTCGTACACTGCCAATGATGGAAGAAACATGCAAAAACTCATAACCACTTGTCAGATTATCAAGCCATGGAGCTCCCTTTCCTTCGACAAGAACTATAGCCCATTTCTAAGCCGTTCAGCAATATTATCGTTCCAAATATACCGTAATCAGATCCGATAGCACCCATTCTAGGTCCAACTACCTCATCTTATCAAATACAAGCTACTCTACTAACATGCCACACAAATACTACTCAGAGCCACAAACCTTGCAATCCGTGCACCAATACACAATAATTCAAATGTACTCCAATATAGAGAATGACTCCAATGAGAGAACCATCCCGCAAGCTCAACAAGTACAACCACAAACCACAATGTTACAAACCCATATTACATAGTAGAACCAAGACACACAAATCTAACACAAAGGATCATATTCCGACATAACCCAGCTGCAATGCGTGGCCCCATCCAGACACGGGTCCATATGGAAACCTCAAGCCACTATGCTCAAAATTAACAACTACACGCAATTCAACATCAAATACCCGAAGTGTATGACTATAACCACAGAGAAGAAAATAACACATTATACCATAGTCTGGAGAGAACAAAACCAAGGCACAATCAATCATTTGACACCCCAATAACCATCTCGCTCAAATCCCGCTACAAGACCCAAATAGAACCGCACCATGTGTGCTTATAGCCAACAAATCAAAACCCATCGTGGCATAGAATGGTCAATTCATAGAACATATAAGAACACGAATACACTCCACTTTGACCGAATGGCACATCCCTGAACAATAGTAGTACGTAGTCGACCAATCCTATCCGATATAGAATACACATCCTCGTTGGGCCTACCAATGAGCCCCAAATCATCTCTGGTCATCCACAAATGGATAATTAATCCTCTGAAAGTCCATAATGACCTAACCATAACATATACTATCACCTGGCTAGCTTTGGCCACATATTCACCGTCCATAACCACGAAACAATCTACTTCTGAGAACTCCGTGTTTCCAAATCCGTAGAACAAACGAATCACCATATCTGATCCTAACTCCACCGCCCAAATGTCTAACACTTCTCTCATACACGATCATCCCACGAGGAATACTTCCATAATTCTTCTGTGCCATATAGAAAAATCTGAATATCAGCAGCCGATCAACGAGGCGAGTACCGCAATACCAATGAAGCATCTGTAAGTCAACACTCAGTGCGCCTTCAGAAATGCGCACCTTTCTCAGGAATTACCAAGCAATTATAACATCCATCTATATATCTGAAACTGCCCATGCTGTCCAAAATTCATAACCTTCCCTCCAAATATGAACTGTGACCTTGCACATGCAAAACTCAATCCTATTCAACACGCCACATCTATCATGCCATTATATGAAACGTACGAGAATCTCATAATCAACTCTAAGTCATAAGCAGAATACATACTCGATCACTCAAAAACCTTTTATTTGATCTCATCCAGGAGAAAATCACAATACGCAACATGTTTTTCATGCCAGTAGGAAATATCCATCCCAAGCCATGATAGAAACCATTGAGAACTCTTCGAAACCCATTTTCCCATAATCAAACCATCAGAACTGAGTCTCTCTAACTCAACCAAGCCACGCAGGTTGCCAAACCTAAGAGTATTCACCAAAACACATGTAGAGCCTCACCACATCATAAGTACCCAAAGAACCGATCATATATATTACCGTACTGATCCAACCTACTACCAAGCTGTCCTATTTCTCTGAGTTCCTTCTGAATTGCCCTCAAACTGACACTTCTCCTTGTTAGAATATCACAATCCTCACCCAAAGCTCACCATAAGGGATCCTAGCATAAAACCACAACACCCTAAAGCCCATAAGCTATTGTATTCCCACTTAACCACCCCCAAACATACCGCAATTGAGATACCCATTTTAAAGAGACCTTCTATGAATCTGAAGTCGTTTCCTCCACCTTTTTAATACCGAACTGTAAAATCTATAATGATATGTCACGCCTTGACCTCGGGGAGCGCGATAGGCGCTCAACCGAGATACCCCGATTAAGCAAGTTAGCTAGATGCCTTCTACCCAACATTTCCCTTTAATAATATAAGAATTAGTACAAGTGATAGACATGACAAAAGTTAAGTATTCCACATTCTTTTTCCATTACTAAAGGATATCCATTTATGATTTTCAAAATATTACAAGTTTATAGATATGATGAAAAACATGTTTGCCCAAATACCAACACTTACTAGTTTAATTGCCAACATCATACACCACTCACAACCTGTATACGGAGCCTCTAAGTAGAACAGAAGAGAAGAATGGAAGTGCCGGCGATAAGGCCCCAGATATACCTCAAAACATAAAGTACAACATCAAATGACATGAAGCCCGGAATAGAGTAGGGCTCACCAAAATCTGCTGAATAGAGAGTAACTGCTAACGAGGATCAAAACTGCCCGCTAACAAATCCACCTGCATCCATTGAAGATGCACCGCCCCCGGCAAAAGGGACGTTAGTATATATGGAATAGTACTAGTATGTAAAGCTAAATATCCCCTTTCAAAATGGAATGCCAATATAAGAACGGGAAAATCATAGAAACAACAAGTCATAATCAACAATATCCAAATGCACAGTTAAAACATAACAACTTTCAAAATACGAAAATAATATATATATATATTTTTGGTTGGGAGATCATTAGCACCGATATACCACCGTATTTTTAGTACGGAGTCCGATCACGCCCGATCGTCTAGGCCATCTCCCCACAAACAATGTGGTTTGACATGTGATGCAAAAAAAAGGTGTTACCAAGAGTAGTACCACCATATGCCCAACATGGCGTCCGATCTCCACCCGACCGGCTAGGTCATCTCCCCACATATGCCATGTGAGCTGACATTAAATCCAGGGCTATCAACAATCTCATCCCAATTAAGGGGAATAATCACAATAACATCAATATTTCAATCTCATCCCAAATAAGGGGAATAACCACAATCCACTCCTACACCGGCACGTGTAGTTTCAGGTGTAGGCCTTATGACTCACCCTTCCTCGATTTGCTAATGATACTCCCAAAGATATTTTGTTTTGCACACAAGGGAAACAAAAGTACAAACATATGCTATATTCACCTCAATATGTTTCACACTATAAATATCTTCATTAGTACTTTCAAACATTCACAACATCGTTATTTATTTGGTTCTCTTGGCCATACTTATGATTCTCCATCCATGGCATGTTGGCCGTATTTCATATTCCACATTTTTATTTCTTTACTTTCATGGATCATCATCATAAATATCAACAAATAGAATATTCCGGAAATCACAACTTTAGGTTTATTATAAATGAAAACTTTAAACACAATGGATTTCTTTCCAGGAAATGGAGTAGAATAATTGGCAATCAAAGCACAAGTTAAAATCATAGGCAATCGAAGCACAAGTTAAAATCATAGGCAATCGAAGCACGAGTTAAAATCATAAACGAGTAACACATCATTTATTCTTGAAATACTTTTCCCCAAAAGGGCAATACACAATTTTAACTTATGAAGATATAAGAGCTCAAACCACATTGGACATTCTTACAAAGCATAATATTAATTAAAAACAACCACATTTGGGCATAACTTGGGTACATAAGCTTTTAGGTAAATCTATTTTCGAAGTCAGACTGGAACAGTTGAATCAAGGCCTATTTCAAAACCTTTCTCACATCATTTTATTTTCTCGGCACCATTGACCACAAGTATAACTTTCATTCTTGGCACATTGGCCATACTTTATGTCTCCAAACCATTTCTTTCACTTTCAAGAATCCTTATAGGTTATCATCAACAAGGCATTTCTACTCAATACTCTAAATACACATTTGAGCAACTAACCAAATTAAGGATCTTAGGCACATATAATTTCTTACACAATTCAACATGCTAGTTTTCATTAGGATCACGTTTTCAAATCATAACACATTAACATACAGCTCATGCTTAATCACCTTTTCAAATAGTAACTCAACATACAAGAACATTTGGAATACAAATTGAACGCATATATCCCTTGACACAAGGCTTATTCGGAATAATCAATTTATACTGAGCAACACGGGACTTACAAGGCCATGGATGAGTTCAATTCTAAAAGAGGAATTTAGCGAACATGCCTTGTTTGACTTACCCGGATAGATGATAATCTAGTGATTGACTTCCTTGATTCTTGAAGGTTGGTGCAAGATTCGAAGATTAGAATGCTAGGTTTCCTCCTTCTCTCTCTAAAATGCTCTTACCGCTCTCTAAAATTATCAGACATTTGCTTCAAAATGAGCCCCTAAGGCTATTTATCAAAATAGGATCGGGTAATAAAAATAGAAAAATGGACCCTCCGAACTCAGGTCTGTTGTCGTAAAATGGACCGGATAACAGATATGCGGTCCGAAAAATGGACCGCAAAAGTGATGCCCTAAAACTGGAATGGTGTGGACAGGTATGCGGTCGCAGAATGGACCGCAGAATGACCCAGCAAAATTCTTCGGGCCAAATCTGCGACGAAAAATGCGGACCGCAAAATAGATATGCAATAGCAGAATGGACCGCAAAACGACCTTCGAAATTCAACCATTTTCTGTTCAACTCCGCGATGATTATGCGGCCCACGAAACGGTTCTGCGATCGCGAAACAGACCACAGAATTGCCTTCTTCTGCCGAAAAATTTCCATCAACTCCTTAGTGCATTCTTCAACCCAAAAAGTCTGTACCGCTAACTACTACATCTATACACATTACTCGACCTCGGCACCACAAAACTAGACTTCCTTGGCGAAATTTTATGGGGCCTTACATGAAATAGAAATACCGGGAGTCTCGACACCATCTAATGTAAATCTCATATCCTAGCCATATACAAATCCTAAAAAAAACAATTCATTGCTATATATAAATCTTGAATCCATTAGAACCTTCTCGAGAGTCATCCACTCTGCTCAAATCTCAATTGCACCGACCAGACGGGCCGAACGACCTGTGCCCCATTAGTACAATAACACCCAAACAAGTAATCCACACAGTTGAGCAACCGAGCAATTTTCTACTCCACGCGCACTACATCCTTCACGAATAACAACTCAATCATCCCATGATTCTCATATACCCATAAAGTGTACCATAACTCGTATCCAGAAATTTCTTTACTTGAGTCATCCTCGATTCAGCCTCTGTAAGTGATAACCGATCCACAAGTATTCCTTAGACCGAAACCAATACAACACGTAACCATGCAATCAAACCGTCGATAGCAGACTCCCCTCTTAGCTCGATGCCATAGAATAGAATATCTGATAACTCACCATACCCATACTCTATTATTATCATAATCCCGCACTGAAGTTTAACTCAATCCTTTGTAAGCTCATGTAACACAAACCATCTAATACCTTAAATCATCTACTAAGCTCGCACACATCCACATGACGATCATGTCAACTATCCCAACCAAGTTCAAATTCAAATCTCAACACATATACCCCCTGATAGAAAGGAAACTCTCCGCACAACATTATAAGGATCACACCTCCGTAGATTACTCCGCAAGAGATAACCCACTTGCTTAGCCTCAAATTTGCATCTTGTTTTACCTTTTCGCAGCCATGATTACTATGCTATCACTTAATCTTCTTGAGTCTAAACTCACCACAAGACATGAAAATCTACTTCGTTTCACATTTAAACAACATGAAAAATCCTTCAACACACTCGACCCGAGACTATATGTCACATCAAGAAAGTAATCTAGCCCCCAATAGTCCTTTTTACGTCTCAAGCAAACTTTTTTCATCACATTCAACCCATCTGAATACATCCCGCAGTCATATCATACTCATCATATAGCCATCCAATCACTCGTCGAATCATAAATTTCACTCATAGGGACACTACCAGACATATAAGCCCAAAAGTACGTGATCACATAGCCGAAATCCCCGTGCTCAAGCTACGGTCAAAACCCGATCTCAAGTCCTCC